TTAACTATTCATTCGGGCCAACACACACGTATTCACATTTTGAAACGGACAGAAATCAATTCACTTCCTCATCCGTCAAGGTGTTCAACCATCCTGCTACCTGGCAGGGACGTGTCAGCCGGTTCAATTCATCACAGTGCGTGCTCACCAGTGATCTGACGGATGCACTTGTAAAAGCTCCATCGCTTCATGTTTTTCAATCAATTTAAGTCCCACTCTCGGTTGTTTGTCTATCAAAGTTAAAGACTCCAGCCTGCTACATGGCGAACATCTTGAATCAAACACTCTTTGCTGATTATTCAAAGCCCATCTGTCATCTTTGACAGTACACCGCGGCTACTTTATGGCAATGTGTGAGGATCTTGTTAATTGGTGTTGGTAAATCAAATGAAAGGCTCGCAGCTTGTAAACAGATGGATCTGAAAAATGAATAGTTGGCGCAAAAGGGTTAGTTGGAACAGTGGTCAATTGTCAGTCACCCTTTCTTTCTCCTCCGGAAGACACAGAGGGCGGGTAAAGTTTCTGTTGTCAGAACAAAGGTTAAAGCGGCTATGCTGACGATTGCACTGGGAGCAGTTAAAATAAAATGACTGTTGGAGGTCAGTGGTCACCAGAGAGTGATGCATGGACCCTGGCCCAGAGATGGATCTTATCCAGTGGTCAAGGTCAGAGCCAAATGTCCTGGCCTGGGTTCAGACGCGGACATGAAGAGTGTTTTAACATTTATCTCGACTCCTTTCCTGCTTTTTCATCCTCTGGGCTATCAGAGCAGAGATGTCATTAACAATGCGTTGTTCTCTTTGATGGGCCTGCTGTATTCCACATAGACTGACTGTAACGATATTTAAGGCAAAGATCAAATTTGGACATGAATATAAGATGGATTTCATAGCTAGTGCTCGTTAAAATATTACTATCCTTTTAGTACAAGCTGTCATGGTATGAATAAGGGGTCGAGCAAAAGTGCATTTTTTAAATATGGTCCATTATCTATCCACATCATCATGTCTGTGCTGTGGAATAACATTAACTGTAAGGCTTTATTTTTTAAAACAGCCCTGCTTTAGTTAAAATGGCTGGGCTCACTCTGGTTATTCATTTTTGATCTTGTGGGAATAATATGAAGACACCAAGAAGGCAGCGATCTCTGGAAAACTTTCAATATCTCATATCTTATTTAAGGTTTGAATTGGGCAACTTAAATAATGATGAATGCTGCTGTTTTAATTGTTAGCATTCAACTATCCCTCCAGATGTATTTTAAGACATGTAAACATTATTCTAGTTATACATATTTAATCTGTTTTATTCACAGAGAAGTGAAATTACCAAGTTAAAAATCTTAAAAGTCCACATCATCATGATTTGATTCAACAACACGGTTTTAGACACTAACGGCTGAGCAACCATCTTAAGATATTGGTTTGAATAACATTCATAGACATTATAACCCTGCTAACTACATGAAAGATAGATGGGGCATATGGCAAAACCAACAGAACCATATTGGCAGTCAAAACAAACAAAGATCAATAATCCTGACCTATATGTGACTCTTTGATCTAAAAACATACTCGAAATTAACATGTATTATTATAAAAAGAAAATAAGAAGGAAAGAAAAAATACTGTGAAAAACCTCACTGGCTTTTTTCTCTTGTATAAATGATCTACTTTCAACTTCACACATTTCAGGGCAGGGAGGCTGAGGTGAATCCAGTTCAGTAAATATCATCCAACTTTCATGCAAAGCGCCACTCGTGTGAGGCGGCCCCCGTCTTTTCTGCTTCCTCCTGCTCTCTCTTTTCCTGCTTTCTCCCTGGCTCCATTTGAAGAAAATCAATGTTTGCAGGTATAACTTCACCATTTTCCATTTCAAGAGTATTCTGCATTCACATTGTTGAATCCTCTTTGATGTGAGGTATGATGACAAAAATGTTCTCCATTAGGCGCATTCACACTGCGGTACTTTTCCCACAAAGGTTAATGTGAACTTAGTTCATGTGAACTCTTTTATCGCGTTCACACCAAAAAGAGCTGGTACTAAAATTAGTTCATGTGAACCTTTTTACCCCCTCGAAAGTCCCTGCTAGAGAGCAGGGACTTTCGAGCGGCTCTCTTGTGAGAAAAGAGCTATATTTCTGATTGGCTGGGCGGATTGCAAACCACGCCCCGCAAAACTCCCAAAAAGTTTTGTGTAGCCGCCATTTTATTATCCTCGCATTAGCATTATTAGCATTAGCATTAGCCCAGCGCAGAAACGCAGAGAGACTAACTTATGGCAACACAAAATAAAACATGGGAGTGGTGGAGATGAGGAGGTGTCGGCGTTCTGGCGATTTACTCGGAAGGCTTCAGTAGAAGCTGCTGGGAGTCCCAGCAGCTTCTACTGAAGCCAGTCCCCAACTCCGGGGACTTCCGGCCGGGGACTTTGGGCGGCAGTATACGCCGTGAAGTGGTTTGCGGCCTGCCAGTAAACCCAAAGCAGAAGAAGAACAAGTGACGTCAGCGGCTTCATTTGCCTAATCCACCCCCAGGGACTTTTTCCAGTGTGAACGCGATCTGTACTTAGTTCATGCGAACTAAAGAGTTCACATGAACTAAGTTCACATGAACCTTTGTGGGAAAAGTACCGCAGTGTGAATGCGCCTATTGTCCCCCCTTTACTATAAAAGAAGGGGGCCAAACAGAGTGGCGGTGTCAAGGCACATCACCCTCACCCGGTGGAAGTGGTTAAACACATCTCCTCGAGCCCGTTCGCCACTTAACAAGGACTTCCTGCGTAGTTGTGGTGTTGCAGATAAACCACAGCTGAATGCAAACACCATTAATGATGTGAAATGCATATTTAGCGCATGCATGAAAGCCCAGGGACAAAAATCAGGAGAACGGGGAGCGCATTGTGGATGATGGACCAACATGTGGTAATTAGTGGGTAAGGTAAACAGCCATGGGGGGAGCCAGAGGGCGGGTTCACAGCCTGTTAGTGGATGCTCTCTTTCTGCTGCTGAGTATCCTCGGGGCTCATGGAGGGAAAAGTGAAGGAGGTAGACAGGAAATGCTGCAAGTTCACTGCGCAGCAGCGGGGTGTTGCTCTGTGTCCAGTCTAGTGTGTGTGTGTGTGTGTGTGTGTGTGTGTGTGTGTGTGTGTGTGTGTGTGTGTGTGTGTGTGTGTGTGTGTGTGTGTGTGTGTGTGTGTGTGTGTGTGTGTGTGTGTGACACACACTCTGCGCTGCGTCACACACACTCTGCGCTGCCAGGGACTGCACTTTAACCATCTTCTTTCATCAGTTGGAGACGGCATGGTGTTCATACTCACAATTGATTGGTGGTTGGCCTGTAACCTTGGCAACACAGGCTGGAGGGGAAAATGTTTTTTTGTTCAAATGGATCAAGAAATTGGTTTGGAAAATAAAAATGATACTGGTTTAACTTATTGTATCCAGCAAGACATTTATCCTTATATCCTCCTTTATGTCAACATGATCAAAGGAAGTATTAAAAAGCATATACATGCTGAGAGTTTAGTTTTGGTTTGACTTATCGTTTTAGAAGCGGCTTTGAACTTCTCACGTTTGCTGCCAGAGACGTATGGCTGTTGGGAAAACAAAACAGTTCCTCACACATCGTGGTTGATAAATAAAACAAAACTTGACTTTCAAAAAAAGAGTTTGTGCTATGATTCAATTCAAAGAAAGTTCCCACAGCGAGAAATCTGGATTTAACATCTTCATAAAACTTTTCTTTTTAGCTTTGTTGATAGCGATTCTGTCAATTGCATCACATTGGATGTCAAAGAACAAGAAATCATGTTACTTAATCATCATGATTAATATACAGTGCTAATTAATTTGTATGACATATGGTTGCATGACGTTTTTATTTTTACTTTAATCTACACCATGTACAGAACCTTTCCTATCATCAAACACCTGTAACATATTTCATTTTTACACACAGCCTCGCGCACACACTGTGTTCACCCAGAGACATGCATATAGTGCAAGAGGAAAGGAGGGAGGGATACTTGATGAGAAAATGAGAACATATTTGTTTTTGTCAGATGGCTCGAGGAAGAATTCAGTGGATGTTAATGAGAAGCAATTAGTTTTGATTCAAAATTAGATTGCTCCCCTACATGCAATGTAGCCATATCAAAACAAAATAATGATTAATTTCTGTTTGTATAAGACATTATTGTCAACAGGAAAAGTACGATACAATTGCTCTGAGGCCGAAGAGGAGGAAAAACATCCATTTAGAGCTGGAGCTGCTCATAAATACAGTGTGTGGGTGCTGGTGCCTGAGAATATCTAGTGTGTTTGCGTAGGGCGCTTTCGTTCAATTCGTTCAACTTTTTGTGTTGATTCTGCCAGCATTCTAAACTCCACTTACTCTTAACATTTTAAATTGTGCACAATGATTACTATTATGTTTGCTTTAAATGCTCATTTAAGCTTCTCTAGCACCCAATAGTGTAATAATGTCCCTACAATTTGCTGTAATTTGCTCTTATACTGATAGAGAATGTAATCAAACCCAATAGCTTAACTTATAATTCACTAATACTAACACTGGAATAGCATTTTTGATATGGATAATGCAGTACTCTAACAATATAAGGCCTATATATCTTCTTTACTTGCACAGTTAGCATTTCTGAGGATAAAAAACATACTTTTGAGAGGGTCATTTCTTTCATCCAATTTGATTAAATTATCAGTTTTTAAAGAAAAAAGAAGACACCTGAATTATTATTGCTTTTAAACTAATATATAAACATTTTGTATTCCAATACCAATCAGGACATTGTATTACACTATTGTTGTAAGTTAATACATGTTATAGTTGTATTACATTTTCAATCTGCTTAAGTTGTATTTTTATTTAAAATTTTAAAACATTTTCAGTCAATTATGACTTTTTTGCTTCAAGTTGTTTCTTTTTTTATCTACTGTATGATAAACTGACCTGATGTGTGTTTGTGCTCCTCTTCCCCAGCATCCATTGTGATTGGGAAGTGGTGGTGCGAGATGGAGCCGTGTCTGGAGGGAGAAGAGTGTAAGACTCTGCCCGACAACTCTGGATGGATGTGCTCCTCTGGGAACAAAATCAAGACCACAAGAGTGAGACCTCACACACACTTGAGCACAAATGCATCTACCTGCACGCACAGATGCACACGTACAACACAAGTTAATGCCTATTTCGTATGTACTATATATGCACAATTAATGCAGGCACACATACACTTAAAACACTTTAAATCCACAGCACTCATTTTCACACAGTGCCAGACAGATTTCACTTTACTTATCTACCTTCATTCATGGCCCTGAAACGAGGAAATCACTAGAAATACCACGCTGTGTTTGAATACTTTGTGTAATGCTTTAACAAAGCTTTTCTGCCGACTGCCTGCTTGATTCTTAATGAATCGTCTGCCATTCAAAATTCAAACATGCACAGTGTCAAAGCTGTGGGAGGTGTCACACTTCTCAGAAAGCATCCTTTGCACTCTGTGTAATAAGGTGGACTCTTTTCAGTGTCTCCAACCTATCTAATGGGCCCATAGTAGTAAAGAACAAACATAAAGCATGCAGTAAACAAACAGGTGGGCTCTGCCTCGGGCCACACTCCTCTTGGAGATAAAGTTAACTGCCACTCTGCCTCTCACTGCCTTTCGGCTCTGTAAACTGACTCTGAATGCGACATGCAAAAGTAATGAAGGGAGTTAAGTCCTCGAAGCCAGCAGTCCAGCACTCTGTGACAGGTTGATCACCCGATTTGTATTCATTTAATTAACTCCCCACCCCACAAACCCCAGTGGACCCCTGTCTTCTCTTAGTGCGTGGTGACTTTGAATAGAAGCAGAGACTTATGAGATTGTAGGGAAAGAGGGGACAGCCAGTGAAGGTTAGACCAGACGGGGCTTCCCAAGGTTGATCTGCAGATTTATACGTCAGCAAATAAACATAAAGCTTTCACTGGACCCGTTCAGCCACCAAAATGTTCAGATCGTTGATCTAATGCCATCCCGTCGAGGTAAGACGTAGTGCTTGGTTCGCTTTAAAGAATGCATCTCTAATTCTCAATTCAGTCCTTTGCACAATCTGACTTAAAGGTGGGGTCGGTAATTTTGGAGAAACCAGCTCGAGTGCGCTAGAATTTGAAAATACACAGCCGGAAGAAATCTGCCACTTCCTTACAGAGCCCCTCCTCCAACACACACGAACGCGCACATGACCAATGAGGGCACGAGATAAGTTTTTGCACAGATGGAAGGCTGACTGACAGGCAGGTAGGCCATCCAGTTACTTTAGCCGGGCCGGCTCAAATGATTGGTCGTGCTTTTTACAGCGCTACGGCTTCCACAGATGACATTTTTGTATGGATTTTTTGTCAAAGCACTTCAGATATTCATTGCTATCGGGATGTTAAGAGCATTCCATGGAATATAACACAAAGTGTATCTCGAGCCGGTTTCTCAAACTTACCTACCCCACCTTTAAGTCAAATATGGTTGTCTTTATTTAACAGAGTTTTTTTGACATACATCAATCAACCCTGTACATTTCTGGAGGAGGAGGAATATTTATGAGTTTATGGCTTTGGTCTAACATTATTAAAACCTTAAAGAGAAGAGGGCCTAAAGGTCAGTTGCTTTTTCTACCCAATACACACGTGTCCTTCTTTTCTTGACCCTCTCTTTGCAGAATACCCAGCCATACTCCCCTTTTTAGCTTCCGGAAGCAAAATGCAGAGGATGGGTCAACAGAAATTGAGCTGCATTCTTGCTTCTGTAAAGGTTAGTCTTTCTCTCAAGCTGTTCTATGTTTTTTTTTTTCCGCCTCTCTCACACATCACTGTAATGCAAGGGGAGTGGGACCAACTCATGTTCAATGACTTCTCATTAACCCAAATACTCAGTGCGAAATAATCAAGTGTGTGTTTACATGCTGTGCATGATTAGGCAGGCGTGACACAAATACTGAACGCACCGCCACCCACTGTAAATATTTATCACCCAGCGCCGGCAGTGCACGCATAAATAAAAAGTAAGTTGCTGCATTTTCACATAAACGGTGCACTATATCAGTCAGTAAGCGTGCATGTACGGTGGCAGCACACTCCTGGAAAACTGTAGAAACACACACAGAGCCAAGTCCGCCCCTCAGCAGAACCCTGCTGTTTGTGAATATTGTAATGGCAGGATCAGTCGCACATCCTTTCATCGCCTCCTTTGTTCCATGTCCTGTTTTTGCTATCGGCCACTGTGTGGGCTTGATTACAGTTACACCTCTCTGCCAATCCCATTAGTCGCTAATCTGTGCTACTTGCTCCTCTCTGTGTGTGCTCGTAGTTGTGTATGAACGCACGTGTTTTGATGTGTTTGATATGTCTGTGTTTGTGTGCGCTCCAAATGTGTGTGAGACCCCCGGGCAAGGCCTCTTCCCTTTTCGGTTGTGTTTCTTCATATCAGAGTCCACTTTATATCCTGATTCCCCTCTGAGGGTCTTGTTGAAGCAGCTATCAGCACACAGCATAGCCCACAGGCTACATGAAAGGCCTTTTATCCTGCACTCTGCGCTCTTTTTAATCAACATTCCCCATTCACCTGCGTCAGAACAAATCACCTCACTTGTATTTGTTCCGTCATAAGCCAGCAAACCCACAACACAGCATTTTTTAAAACTCTCAGCCATTTTATTTCATCTGCAAGTTTCCATTTTGCTCCGAAAAATGTCAGTCAGGCAAAATAAGGCAGGCACATACACAAGTTAACCAGAAAACAGATTTCATCGCCATCTTGCGTTAAAGAAAATTGGCAGAAAAGGAAGAAGCCGAAACAAAGCCAGATGCTCACACCCGCGTTTCTTCATTTTCTTTTTCCTCATGTCCTTCAGAGAGAGCCCTTCAATGCCTGTTCTGTCGCAGCATACAAGGCAGGCCCTTTTTGTTTGTGGAAGTCCCAGTGAGAGCGAGACATAGGGAGCACCTTCCAGAAACACCCAATCCACTCGCTACATAGATCAATCCATTTCTGCTGCTTTCAAAACAATTATACACCTTCAGAAAGACAGGCAGAATGAATGGGGCAGTAATGAAAAGGCTTTTTTCCCCATTCATTCCGCTTTTGATGAGTGAGAGAAATCACGCTCATTTGAGGTGTTAAATAGAAAATGTATTCAGTATCAAGGCAGGAATATCATACATACTTAATACAGCCTTCATCAGGTACTCAATTAATTGTAATGGGTTATTTTAAGTTATCTTACACTGATATATATAACCCATGTAACCCACAGCCTTTCTATGCACCGTCATTTTTCACGCTTTGCACTGTGCTACCTATTCAACTGGTCCAATATGATTTACCTGCTGTTCAGACACCCACATGTCTCTTATTGAAAAGAGCGGAGGGCACTTTTTCAAGCTAAATAGCACACTGTGACAGAATGTAGCCCATCTGTGACACAGTTTCAGAGCAAAGAGAGCTGCCAGCAGACGCATCACCATCTCATTTGTCAGATCGGGAGACCGCACTTGATCAAAATGAACTCCGAGCGGCCATGCCACACACAGTTCAACGTCACAGAGAAATCATCTGTTCCATCAGTGTGCTTGACAACACCTCTCCAGCTTCAGCCCTGTATTAAGTTATGAGCTGACAAAGGCAGTCCGAACTGAGGAATGGCCAGATTGTCATCCTTTTTACATTTTATACAGATTTAGGGAAGGGGGGGTGATACTGATTATTTCATACACTTTTTCTTTTTCCATTGTCAATGTCACATTAAATGGATCGTGATGTGTTTTGTTGTCTTCTGTTTGTACACGGTGTGTTTTAGTGCAGTTTGAAGAGGTTTCTCAGCTTGCATGATTGATTTGTTCAGCACTAAACAAGAAAGGGGAAAAGGGTAGGCTGTGTTTGCACTAAATTCTTTTGCTAAGGCAATTGTCCTTGGCTCCTTTTACTAACTGAAGTCTGAGTAAATTGCAATTTAATGCGGCCTGCAAATTAGAATGCAGACGGCTTAGTTGCCAGCAAAGATGGGATAGGCAGGAAATCCTTAAGCAATCCGCTGCTACCTGCTGCCCGGTTCATTTGAAGCGGCAGAGGACAAAAAAGAACAGAGGACACTTTTAGTCACACACACAAACACACACACACACACACACACACACACACACACACACACACACACACACACACACACACACACACACACACACACACACACACACACATGCATCTGGGCTGAAATGACAGAATTTGCATACAACCCCTTTTCTCCCACTAACAAACCTCTGGTGGATAGTGTCTGAAAAAGAGAGCGGGTAATGTGTAACCTGTTACTGCTCTTGTTCTGACAGAGGTCACACACTGCTACATCAGTAGATGAGACAGAAGCAAATGCTGGACAGATGAGCCTGTGAGATTACTGTGTTTAAGGATCATAGGGGGAAAGAAAGACCGAATCTGTACAGAGAAAGACACTGTGAAAAGACCTGAGGTGAAATCAGCATGTTAAATCTGAAGCTGTGAAGCTGTTTAGAGCCCACAGAGGAACAGCTGCTGTGCAACTTCCTAAATAGGAATGATGTTGTCAGTGTTTCCATCAGAGGAGGCTGTGAGAGAGAGCTTATTTTTACATCTGTCTTAACAAGTTATCTAGTCTTCAAAAAAGAATCTGCCAATGGTGTTGCACTCTAGCATTGGTAACCCTCAGACAAAGTACCGTGAGTCTCGCAGGAGAAATGGAACCCAAGAAAAGTGCAAACCTCCCTGACGAGGTGGAGGAGATTAAGAAATCTCTCGACTTCTTGTCAGCCGAAATCAAAACAGTCGTGGCCCAGCAAAATAAAATCATGGAGCTAATGGGAGAAATACAATCTCTGAAATTACAAAACATTGAAAAGGACAAAAAGATCACTTTTCTTTGGAATCGAGTGGCCGACCTCGAACAATACACCAGGATGAACGATCTGATTATCAGCGGCCTGAAGACCAAACACCGGAGCTATGCCAGGGCGGCAGCGGCCTCAGAGGACACCGCTGCCGGGAGAGGGGGAGCCGACGCTCCGGAGGTGGACCGTGAGTCGCTGGAGCAACAGGTGCTTTGCTTTTTGGACAGCAAGGGCATATCTGTTGACAGCGGAGATATTGAGGCCTGTCATGCCCTGCGGAGCAAGAACACAACAGCCACACCAGCAATAATAATCCGGTTCATCAACATGAAAAAGAAATATGCACTCCTCAGACAAGGAAGGAAACTAAAAGGGACCAATGTTTACATTAACGAACACCTTACGAAGAAGAACGCCGACATCGCAAGGAGAGCACGTATACTAAGGAAACAAAACAAGATTCAAACAACATGGTCGACAAATTGTAAAAATGTTATCAAACTAAATGGATCAACAGCAGAGATGGCGAAAGTGCTCATTATCCGGGAAATCACCGAGCTGGATCAGTTTGAGGAATGAATCATCAAAATCAACATACGGTAACTGAATAGCTACACACTGAAATGAACACACTAAGAACACCCATGATAAGCTTGGACAAAAATCACTCTCCTGCTGAATATGAAAAACTGGACTTGAAATGTTTCAAATACACGGAACATAGATCACAAGACATTGAAAAGGATATTGACCCTGAAAATTATTTCTACAATAACATCCATAACCAATGTGAATACTACAGAAGATCAACTCAAAAGACATGGAATGATGGATGGATCAATATCAATATTACATTTTAATAGCAGAAGCCTCATTTCAAATGTATCAAAGATCAAACACTGTTTAAGGCAACTGGAGAAACAAGTTACAGCCCTAGCAATATCAGAGACCTGGCTTAGTGAGGAGCAAGCTGACATGGTTGAAATCGAGGGATACAACATGTTTTTTACTAATAGGACACATTCTAAAGGTGGGGGGACTGCACTTTATATTAACAAAAGTTACAAAAGTAGATCTGTCAGTAATAGGTATTTCGCTGTAGACAACATTATGGAATGCATAACAGTAGAAATTGAAATGAAAACATCTAAAAACCTTCTGATAAGCTGCGTGTATAGAAAACCAGGATCATGTATTGACACATTTGAGAAAAAGCTAGCTGAACTTTATAACTACACAAGCAGTAAGAAAATGCTCTTTGTATGTGGAGATTTTAACATTGATTTGCTGAACCCACAAGAATACAATGCAACTACAGAATTTATTAATTCTATGTATAGCAACAGTTTATATCCTACAATCACACGACCAACCAGAATAACATCACACAGTGCTACACTCATTGACAACATATTCACAAATGTTATGGATAGGAAAGTAATAAGTGGAATATTAATCAATGACGCAAGTGATCACCTGCCAGTCTTTGCAACAATACAGAACTGTACTAGGATCAAAAAAGACACCAGAAAAGTCACAATTACAAGACACAAAACACCAGTCTGTTCATTCTTTTAAAGAAGAATTATCTAAACAAGACTGGAACAAAGTGTATGTACCAGATACAAATTAAGCCTATGAATCATTTCTACATATTCTATCAGGGCTGTATGAAATACATTGTCCTCGTGTAAAGAAAATAGTGAAACAAAAATATGCTGAAAAACCATGGATCTATAAGGGAATATTAAATGCATGTAAAACGAAAAATGAATTATATAAAGACTTCTTAAA